CAGGAGATTAAAAGGTGCGTCGACCGTAGACAGACTCAACCATCTAAAACAGCAGGGTCGTTATCATACGTAACCGCTGCGTCGGCACCACTTCAGCATGCCTGTATCATATGTAAAGATAAACACGGTAATTTATACAATTGTGCAACTTTTCGTAAATATTCACCAAGCGAACGTTATAAATTAGTAAAAACAAACAACCTATGTCTGAACTGCTTAAGCGATAAGCATTTAGTTGCAAAATGCAATTCTAGTTCCGTATGTAGCAAATGCGCCAGGAAACATCATACGCTATTACATTTTGAAAATAGCAACATAGCGGCGTCAAGTAAAGCGGACAAGGAATTCACCCCTACTAAAGTCAACGATTCTAGCGGTCGACCTGGTGATGTCGCTCTGTGCTCATTGGCAAATATGGGAGCACAACCTCCTTCAACCGTGTTACTGGGTACGGCATGTATTTTGGTTAGGGATTCGCGTGGAAACGAACAAAGCGTCCGTGCACTGCTGGACAGCGGAGCCCAAAATAGCTTTATAACGCGACAATGTTGTCAGCGCTTAGGCTTAGTTATTACTACATAGGTCACTTTCATGTCCCGTAGTCAAAGGCATCGGAGGTACTATTAAAGTTACCCAGGGATATACAAATTTAAAATTTTATTCTCGGATAGATCGTAATGTTAACTTTGATATAAATGCACTAGTAGTAGATAGAGTCACTGAACGGTTGCCAACCGTTTCGGTTGACACCTCGGCAATGATTGAATTTAAAAATTTGACTCTAGCAGACGACTAGAAAGAGAGACTAGTTCCTGGAAACATAGACATGCTCATTGGAGCATCGCTTTTCCCTCATCTTTTGCTAAGGCAACCTCTTATTGTGGTATGGCTGTCGAACCGCTCGAGTCGTTAGTCCGCAAATTTTGGGAGATGGAGGAGGTGAACGTCCCACCCATAGCTAGCTCAGATGACAGATTATGCGAGGAAATTTACGTCCGCACGACCGTTCGTGATCGCGACGGTAGATATAGTGTAGCGCTACCCTTTAAAGGAGATGTTTTATCTCTAGGCGATTCGCGTCAAATGGCGGAAAAACGTTTCTACAGCTTGGAGCGTAGGATGCTCGCTTCACCCCAATTAAAGGAAGCTTATGACGGCGTCATTAACGAATATATAAGGGAAGGTTACATATCACTTGTGGCTTCGAAATTACACCGTCGAAGACACACCGTCGTATTTCATACCACACCACGGGGTCATTAGGGAGGACAAACTTACATCTAAGTTACGTGTAGTGCTCGACGCTAGTGCTAAAACTAGCACTCACCTGTCGCTTAACGATATCCTCTATAGTGGGCAAAATTTACAGGGCAGTTTATTTAATATAATAGCCAATTTTCGTTTGTTTAGTATAGCACTATCCGCCGATATTCGCCAAATGTTTCTTTGCATAGGGGTCCGTGAATGCGACCGTAGATTCCAACGCATTTTTTATCGTTTCAACCCAAAGGAACCTCTAATGGTGTTTGAATTTAACCGCGTTTGCTTTGGTTTAAAGTCGAGCCCATTTCATGCGTTACGCACGGTGAGACAGCTCGCCCACGATGAAGGTCCCTCTTATCCTAAAGCTAAGAGGGCAATTGAAAGTGGATTATATATGGATGATTTTGTGTACTCGGTCGATAGCGTGGAGGAGGTCACCCTAACCACCGCCGAGGTTATAAAGCTCATGAAATCGGGTCAATTCGATCTTGTCAAGTGGACTAGTAATTCGCGTCCGGTTTTAGACACAATCCCACTATCACACCGTCTTTCGGCGATAAAGGAATTCGACGATTCTGATACACACAAGGTGCTCGGTCTGTGTTGGTCACCAGAGTCCGACGTGTTTAGCCTTAAGGTAAATCCGCCCGTAGAGAAATGCACAAAGCGCACAATACTGTCATGCGTTGCTAGATTATGGGACGTCATGGGTTTCGTAGCTCCGGTGGTATTATACGCTAAGCTTTTGATTAAACAACTTTGGTTATTTGAATGCGACTGGGATGACTCGCCGTCTGACAGCATTGTTCGGTTGTGGCAGCGTTTTAGAGAGGAACTTCCTTTACTAAGAGAAATTAAAATACCGCGTCATATAAACGTCGATAGAAATAGCGTCATAACGGTCGTTGGGTTTGTAGACGCCAGCGAGAAGGCTTACGGGGGCGTTGTATATTTCCACGTCCAGAATAATGGTAGAAATTCGATTAGCCTCATTAGTTCTAAGTCGAGAGTCTCCCCCCGTAAGGTTGTCTCTCTGGCGCGCTTAGAGCTTTGCGCAATATTAGTACTCACCAAATAATGGACCACCCGCTTTGGTTCCACGGACCTTCTTGGGTTCACTCGGATCCCTCGCAATGGCCAATAACCGATTTCGAACCTTCGTCAGTGTCACAACCGCCGGAAGAGAAGAGACACGCTCTAGTGGCGAACGTTGCGAGCGAGGTTTCTCCAATCATTGCTTTGGCGAACCGCTTGTCCTCTTGGTCGAAATTATTGCGTAGCATAATTTACGTTTGTCGATTCGCGAAGCTTTTACCGCGACGTTCGTATGTCTTAGCGTCCGATTACAACTATGCCGAGTCGCTAGTATTGCGTGAACTTCAACGTGCGCATTTCTCTGAAGAAATTACAAGATTACAATCGAATAGAGCTTGTAGTCGCGCCTTTCAACGCCTTAAGCCATTTTTACAGGATGGGATTGTAAGGGTAGGTGGACGATTGTCCAACTCGCAGTTGAGTTTCGACCAACGGCACCCTATTGTTTTACCGCGTAAAGACCATATCATGAATTTATTAGTGGATTACCATCATAAATTGAATTCGCACGCTGGTCCCGACTTGCTGATGTCGATCTTCCGTCAGAATTATTGGATTCTTTCTGCACGTAGTTTAATACGCAATCGGGTGCACAGATGTATAGCTTACTTTCGGGCACGCCCCAAGCCGTCATTTCCGGAAATGGCGGAACTTAGATCTTGTAGAGTAATACAATCGGTAAAGCCCTTTACGCACACCGGGTCTGATTTCGCTGGTCCGTTTAAGGTCATGCTCACTCGCGGGCGTGGTATAAGATCCACAAAAGCTTACGTCTGCATTTTCGTATGTCTAACTACTCGAGCCGTGCATATAGAACTCGTTGGTGATCTAAGCACAGCAGGCTTTATGGGTGCATTTAAAAGATTTCTTTCCCGCCGTGGCCCTGTAAGTAAATTATATTCGGATAACGGTACGAACTACGTCGGTGCAAAACGTATTTTATCAGAACTACATGAGCTCTTAGCTAGCAAGTATTATAATTCGGAGTTCGCTCATATTCTAGCCGAGAACCGCATTGAGTGGTCTCTGAACGTCCCAGCCGCGAGTCATTTTGGGGGCAATTGGGAGACTAATATTAAAAGTCTAACGAGTCAGTTATACCGAGTAGTAGGAGATCAAATTTTGTCCTTCGAAGAGCTAAGTACGGTGCTCGCTCAAATTGAATGCGTAATGAATAGCCGCCCACTTTGTCGTACGTTGTCTAGTGACCCCTCGGAACCGCTGGCTCTAACTCCAGCACATTTTTTGAATTTAACGCCTTTAAAGTATTTGCCCGCTGTAGATATGGATAACAGACTTAGCATTTCCGCACGCCACAAATTATTAGACCGGTTAGTGCAATCGTTTTGGAAACGATGGAGGATGGAATACTTGCATACTTTGCAGTCTCGGCAAAAATGGAACACAGCAACTGAGCCTTTAGCTGTAGGAACTGTAGTTGTGCTCACCAAAGAGAATACGCCGCCTCTCCATTTGCCGTTAGGAATTGACGAATAGGTCTTTCCCGGTTCCGACGGAGTAATTAGGGTAGCTCGCGTTAAGACCACGGTTGGGTCTCACCTGCGTCCTGTTGTCCGTTTGTACCCCTTTCCTCTTCCATAATTTAAATTAGCTTTCTAGATTAGAAATTGTAGTTGAATTTAGGTAATCTTAGCGTTAGTTAGTTATTTTGTTAGTTTGATCTTAGCTCTAGTTGTTTTAGTTAATTTTGAAGGAAATCCTTCAAGGGGGGGGGGAGATGGTTGCGCGGAAAACCATTCGTATTTATTTATTTGACGGTAGGCTTGCCAAATCGTTTATCCCTTTCCAAACGATATCATTCATACCCTCCTATTGACACATCGGGGTGGTGGGGTGGGAGGGGAAAGAAGATGATTCTAGAATATTACGCAATTATAAAGGCACGCACGGCCGACGCGCGCTTTCTTCCCGCCGCGCTCGTCGTTGGAACCACACCGCCTAGGATAATAGTGTCCTAAAGAGCTCTTGCCCACGCGCACCGCTAGTATAACCGCTTAGCCTGAAGCAGTCGAGCTCCAGGAAACCCGCCTCACCTCGTGTGAGAAATAGTCGCGCACCGCCTCTCTCCCGACGCGTCATCGGACAAGAAAGGCAGAGAGTCTACCCAGAGTATCTTCCAGAAGTCGCAGCTATAGTGCCCAAGCAGCATAGAAGAAAAACACCCCGGTGAGTGAACATTCCTTACTAGTTACTGCTTGATATAATTGTGTCCGCTCCAATTTATTTTCTCCTAATCAAGCAGGATTCCTTTCATAGATTTGGCAAATATTAGTTCGTTTTGGGGAAGAGCGAGTGCATTGTACCGCGTGCTATAGTCATCATTTATGTAAGCGTAGAAGCATTAAGCAGATACAGTACACTTTGGTTAATATCTCGCGTAATAGGTTTAAGGCTCGACCGGGGAATTGGACTTCGGTAGCCTTAGGCTCGTCGCTCCACCAACAATAATATAGCTGCAGCGTGGCTACTCTCTACCACTTTAAAAAACTAAAGCGCCCACTACAGCGCCCATTACCATATTTACTCAACCGAATAATAGTATAAGGATTGAACTTATCTTGTTTGAGGCGGTGGTCCTGTACCAGTGTGTGCAGGGTCTGGATGTGCACTCGATTGAGGTGATGCCGGACATTATAAATGCATTTAAAAATGACATCGATGCTGAACCGGTTCGGAAAACCGTCGAAGCTCTAAAATGGAGCACGGTGACTATCTCATTGCCACAATCCACCTTACGGCTGGTGACTACTGGTGTAGTACAGGAGCTCAAAGGGCAAAAAAGGAGGATTCTCGCAATATCCATTGCTTCGGTGGTGGCGCAGCTCGCTAATGAACTGATGTCGTTATACCGTGTCAACAGGTGGTATTATCAAAGTTATTTAATATTTTTAGTTTAAATTAAAAATAGAAAACAGTGAAGCGCTAATGCAAAGAAAACCTTAATTCAAAGCTCCGTAGCAGTTCCACGAACGTTGTACAATAGATCATATGATTTAAGCAAATAAAATAAAGCTTGGTAACCGTTCAGATCTCAACTCTTTTTTTGTACTTTTTTCTAATGAACTCGGCTCCTATTTCATAATATGCTTTGGTGAGATTAGTAATACATAAGCCTCTCGCGAGCCATTGAACTGTAATAAACGACCTGCTAAGCTAAGCGATTAACGCAAATCCTTCCTACTTCGGGAGATGCCCATGGGCTCTAAAAGTAAAAAGCAGGCTATTAAGAGTCTTTAAATAAGAAGAAAATTAAGCTACACTCTAGACCGGTGAACTGATAAGAAATTTAAATGAAAGTAAACCGATTGATAGTACGTTTTGAGTCGGTACAAAGAGCATATCGCAAAAATGTTTATAAACACTTGACTTCAATTATATAATGTGATGTGAATTTTTAATCTTCATAGGATTAACAAAGTAATTCGCATGGTTTGTTGTTTAATTTATACATAAAAGAAAAAAATGGCAAATGTATTATGAAGTAATACAAATGTAAATATTTCCATTTTTTATGTATCCGCTGTTGGGGGCCTCTCAGATCGCCAACGTCCTTGTTCAAATTTTTTACTTATTTCTTAAGGTTATAGTTTTTGTTTTAAAAACTATTGATATGGGATAATTTTAAAATTGTAATTGTTGATAATAAGCAAATATTATTCATTTATATAATATATTAATTTGTAATAGTTAAGTGTCTGTCAGCGCGAAGAAAAAACTTTGTATCCTTTCTTTAAGGTTTGCGCGAAGGAGTGTGCGATTTGTTAAATTGTATATGAAAAAAGAGTGTAGAAAACTAAAATTATGTATAACATGCGTATAAAACAATTTCCGTGGTAAAGAGCCACGCAACAATTTTTGCTGTGGCTTGAATGGCCGGGCTTGACCGGGGTAGTAGCACACCTCACAGAATACTAGCGTGAAGTAGAATTATTTATACTTCTGATTTTCGCCTGTTAAGTGTAGGTATCTGGTGGCCCATTCCCTCCTCCCTTTCCCCAAAAATATGAAAGCGATATTAAAAAAAAGTCTACCCTAGGAAGGCGTGTAGCATTGATAACTTCCTCCTGGGCATGGATGCTTAGACTGCCCTGTGTATTATGGGGGCAGACACAACTTCGCTCTGTACGACTACACATACTACACAAAGTAAATGGGACAAAATCACTACGGCACCCCCTCCCATGCTCACTGTGGATTTCTGCAACATAAGAAGACTTCATCCAAAACTTAACACCGTATACAATATACCTTATACCACTCTTCTTCTTAAGGTGCCGTCTCCTTGCGAAGGTTGGCAATCATTAGGGCGATTTCAACTTTTGAGACCGCTGCTCTAAACAGTGATCTTGTGCTCTTCCCGAACCACTGGCGCAAATTCTTCAGCCACGATATCCTTCTGCGGCCAGGCCTCCTTCTGCTTGCCACTTTCCCCTGAATGATAAGTTGAAGGAGTTCATATTTTTTGGTGTTACGCATCACGTGCCCAAAATATTCCAATTTCCTCCTCTTTATGGTTGTAAGTATCTCTGTGACCTTCCCCATCTTTTGTAGCACGGCGGTGTTTCGTACGCGGTCTCTCCAAGAAATTCTTAGCATACGTCTGTACACCCACATCTCAAACGCTTCCAGTTTGTTAGACATGGCTTCTGTCAGCGTCCAAGCTTCTACACCATAGAGAAGTACAGAAAAGACATAGCACCGCGCTATGCGTGTTCGAAGAGAAATACTTAGGTTCCGGTCACAAAGAACTTTCTTCATTCTCGAAAAGGTGTTGCGTGCCTGCTCTATTCTGCATCGTATTTCGAGGCTGTGATCTCCTGTTTCGTCAACCATTGTGCCTAGATATTTGAATTTGGTGACCCGTTCAAGACCCTGACCATTTAGGGATAAAGACGTGATAAGCTCAGGTGTTCGGCTTATTACCATGTACTTCGTCTTATTGGCATTGATGTTAATACCGTATTCAACACTAACGGAAGCCACTGAATCTACTAACCTTTGAAGACCCACAAGACTATCGGCGATTAATATCGTGTCGTCTGCGTACCTAATGTTGCTTAACAATTTGCCATTAATTGATATGACCTTATACCATATTCATCCAAAACTTAATACGTCTACTCGAGACGGCTCATCCGGCATTGCTCTTTCTCAGCGAGACGCAGTTGTCCTCACTGGCTGATACATCTTATTTGTCTTACCGAGGTTACAAACTGGAGCACTCTTTTCTTCCTCGAGCCGGAGTTTGTGTGTATGTCAGGGAGGATATCTGTTTTCAACGCCTCGGTAGTCTTGAAGGCAGGGACCTGTTCATCCTGTAGCTTAACATAAATGGTGTCCCACAGCGATAATGCCAAACCAGACTGACTCAACGCCTACGTCCAAATGGCTACAGCTTCCATGCTGTAACCCACCCAGAGATCATGCTCCTTGTTGATTTCAACGCCCACTACGTCGAATGGTTTTCGATTTTCGTACTACCGATCGTGCAGGGAGATCTGTTTAAGATTTTGTCTTGGCATACGGTCTTACACAGCTACGCCCACACGAATTCCAAATGCGGAGGATTATACACCACCCCTGTTGGACCTTCTGCTAACCTCTTATCCGGACGGTTATCAGCTCGTCGTCGACGCCCTTCTTGGCTCTTCGGATCACTGCCTGATTTCAAGTACGATGTCCATCACATGCTCATTGCAGGCATGATCTGTAGAATCAGTAGATTGAGACGGTTTTTCATACAGGTCTACCGCTTGCAGCTTTACAAAGCGCAGGTTTGGCCTCATATGGAATACTGTTCTCATCTCTGAGCTGGGGCACCTCACCCTCCATCCACGATATAGACCGTAAGACCACAAGATGTTTCTGGTATTTCCCAGATTCACTGACGCTGCCGCTAGCGCATATATATCTAAACTTTCAACTGTCCATTAATATTTAAAACACTGATAATATACAAAATAAAACAACCTTTGCCTTGACATAAAACGTACCACAGACTATTGAAAAAATAACATTAGAAATCACACAAAATTCACACACACATACACACAGTCAAATATAGCTTACTGAATATACAAGCTAAAAAACTTTATGATAAAAATCGAAGTTTGGCCACTGGACCACTACCAATTTTTATCAATCAATACAAATGCCTTAGCTTAAGCTGAGGTTGTACAAAATATTTGCAATCTCGACACAAGTTTGACGCGCGAATATTGATACTTCTTGAAATAATATATGTATATATTCCAAAAATATACGCATACATAAAATATATCAGTTGTATAAGTTGTATCAGACCCTTGAAATCGTCGGTGTTTACCAATTCCACAGAGAAGTTGTACGAGGCAGAAAACTCCTAATAAAACGCACAGTGGTGGACCGCCATGCATTCAAATGGTCAGGATGGTATCGTGAATCTTGACGCCTCTTATTTCTGGGGTTGTTTTAAGACAAGGAAGTGTCCACCGTTCTGCCCTAATGCGTGTTGAAGGACTTCTTATGTAGATCTTTAGAATTTTTTTTATTTCTTACACATGAAGATTTCCTCACGACTTTACCCATTAAGCACATGGTAAATCTAAAATCTTTTGAAATAGCAATTATAAAATGTATTGATCCTGGCGGGGATCGAACTCAGATTGCTCGTGTTTTTTTATAAAATAATGGTGACAAACGAGCACATAGTCCACCTGATGGTAAGTGGATGCTGTGGCCCATAGACATCTACGTTTATCCTCGATTAAGAATCAAAACGCAGATGCGTTGTCACCCCTGAGGACTAAGATGGAATGCCTCGTTTCCAGTCAAAAAGGGTCTCCGGATCTCTTCACTCACCATATGAAACACAGCAGTATTAAGCTGCTATTTTACGCTGGTATTCTGTGAGAGCGTGGTCCTTCCCCGGTCGAGCCGACCCATTCGTGCTACAACCATAATATAGCTGCAGCGTGGCTCTACCACGTATAGAAAGTTAAGAAATTTATAACGAGCCCTTAGATTATAATATTTCTTTTGTGGTTTTACCAAAATAAACAGTATAAGTAACATTTTTTAATAGAGCTATGAATAATTCAAATCAAAGACCAAAAAGTTTTATCAAAAATGATAGATTTTTCGTATAGATTTTTTTTATTATCGCTATTAGACACAAAAAAGTGGTGGATAAAACACATTTCTTTGATATCCGATCCTGTCCGATGGAACCGGTTGTCGGCCTACAAAGTCAGCTGTGAAGGTCCAGTAATATCTATTCATTTAGAAGATATAAAGCAGTTATACTGAACGCCGGGCGCAGTGGTTAAGTAACTTTTAATTGCAACACACGAATAACAAAAAAAAAATTAAAATGATTTTACATAATAGATACTATTCTATTATATTATTGTGTGTTTTGTGCAGTTTTTATGAGTTAACACAAGCGAAACTTGCACGTAAGTTTGCAATTATTAATGTTAGTTTGTTTAGCGTCTGATTCACCGTTTTAAGAAATTTGTAGAAATCCTATTTATATTATTGCATAATATAAAAAAAAATATTAGTCGTATAACAAAAATACTTAAAACTAATAATTATTTCAAAATTTCGTTATTGGTCTTCGATAATGTGATTTTAGATTCTGGACTTTATTTTCGTAGTACAAAAATCATAGTCAATTCAGAATCTAAGCGCTCGTATGGTCACCGCCAACAGCAATAAAATGGTTAATTGCAATTTTAAGTGCGGATTTACTATGTACTCGCGGGTGAAGGAAGTTAAGTTAGAATCCTGTGTTCAACAGGAACTATATAGGCTATATAGGTCTAAGGCTATATAGGTCATCATTACATTGTCGTAACTATCAAAAACCTTAGTGTCGGGAACTTTTGGTTATAGACTTGGTGACACGGAGAAATCAAAGAATATATATAAATTTTCAAGAAATCGAATGTTGATTCGCGTGGCATTAGTACACAAAAATACACATTCAGTGTCAAACGGCTTTTAGACAGCTTAAGTGGTCCGTTACCGCAGGTCGGTCTGGTTGACAGGAAGAAAAAAGATATTGCTTTTATTTTTTTATATGCAGTCCGATGGGACGGTAATTCGACACGATCGGAGAGAGATCAAGCGCAGGACCAACAGTTTACATACAGGTTTCTTCAAAATAGGATAAACATCTATGCCTTAAAATTTAATAGTGATACGCAAGCAAGTTGAGTTCGATTAACACCGGATCACGTGCTCGGCGGCAAAGGCAAACATAACGTGAAAACTTCTACAAACTTTACAATTAGAGTAGGATTATAATAAGTCGATGCCGTTTTAGAAAAATATAGTAAGATCGGCATGTTAGTAGTTATGACATAGCCGAGAAATGACCACAAAAGAGCTTTGACCCATCTGAAAAATCTGGCTACACAAAAAAGTTCTATTTCTCTATTATAATATAAAAAAATAATATAAAACCAAAGAATGTTTCTAAAAGTGATTAAGTAATTTTAATTGCTCACAAAATGCTTAATTCTAATTCGAAATTGCTCACACTATTAACTAATTGTTGAATTACTAATAAGTAATTAAAATACAAAATTGTTTTGCTTGTTTTATTTAATCCTACGAAATTTTCTTAGAATTAAAAATGTGTAACGAAATGTTCAATTTAAATCCGTTAATTAACTATTTAATTAGTTATTAATAATTAAAATTACAAAAATGTTTTTGCTTATAAGCAAAAACATTTCAACTTATTCATTAATCTGATTGTTATAATATTCAGATTAATGAATAAGTGGTCCTTTATGCTCACAAAATGTCTTATTCATATCCGCAATTACTCACAATTTTAATTCATTATTAAATTAATAATTAATTATTAAAAATACAAAATTGTTTTGCCCATTATACGTAAACCAATGATTTAAAAATGAATTATAACTCCTGATTGCTCTCAAAATGCTTAATTCAAATACGAAATTGCTCACACTATTAACTAATTATTTAAACAGTTATTAATAATTAAATATCCAATTTGTTTTTGCCTAAGCCAGTCAGATTAATGAATAAATATACTTAATTACTCACAGATCGCTTAATTCAAATCCGCAATTTCTCAATCTATCAATGAACTGTTTAATTAGTTATTTATAAAAAAATTACAAAATAGTTTTAGCCTATTATACTTTTAAATCTATGAACTTTTCTTAAAATTAATAATTTCCCTGATTTAGTAACTAAATGTCTAATTTAAATCTACAATTACTTACACTATTAATTAGTTATTTAATTAATAATTAAAAGTACAAATTTGTTTTACTCTAAAAACTTACATAATTGAGTAAGTGCTCTAAGAAAAGCTTATTGGCTTTAAGTACAATAGGCAAAAACTATTTTTTATAATTAATAACAGATTAAATAATTAATTAATAGTGTGAACAATTGCGGATTGGAATTAAGCATTTTGTGAGCAATTAAGAGTACTTTTTTACTTATAGAAAAGTTTATTTTTTAAGAATATTATATAATAGGCAAAAACAATTTTGTACTTTTAATTATTATTAACTGATTAAATTATTAGTAAATAGTGTGAGCAATTGCGAATTTGAAATGAACAATTTGTGAGCAATTAAATGCACTTGTTCATTTATGAATACCTGGGACAAATAGTCCGACTAGGTAAGTCCAACTTCGACCGAGAGGTCAATCGACGGATTCAACTCGGCTGGGAAGCGTTCGGGAAATCACGACACATCTTCTCGTCAGGTATACCTCAAATCCTGAAAACTAAGTTGTACAACTAGTGCGTGTTGCCGGTGATGGCCTACGGACCGAGACGTGGTCCTTCACTGCTGGTCGTATGAGGACGCTCAAAGTTGCTCAGCGAGCTATGGAGAGGGCTATGCGCGGAGTTTCTCTGCGTGATAAACTTAGAAATGAGGATATCCGTAGTAGAACCAGATTGACCGACATAGCCCAACAGATTAGTAAGCTGAAGTGGCAGTGGGCCGGCCATATAGCTCGAAGAACCGACAACCGTTGGGGAAGAATGGTTCTCGAATGGCAGCCTCGTATCGGTAGGTGAGGTGTAGGGCGACCCCCCACTAGATGGAGTGACGACCTGGTAAGACATGCAGGAAGTCGATGGATGCAGGTGGCTCAGGACCGTGCTTTGTGGCATACCTTGGGGGAGGCCTATGTTTAGCAGTGGACTTGTGAAGAGCTGTAATGATGATGATTCATTTATCTGCGCAGTTTAGGCAAAAATGTACTTTTAATTATTGTTAACTGATTTAATAATTAGTTAATAGCGTGAGCAATTACGTATTTGAATTAAGCTTTTTGTGAGTAATTAAGAGTACTTAATCATTTTTGGAAAATTCTTTGGTTTTAAGAATAATAGACGAGAGGTTATAAGAGGTTTTAGGTATAATAGGCAAAAAGAATTTTGTATATTTATTTATTAATAACTAATAAAATAATTCATTAACAGTGTAAGCAATTGCGGATTTGAATTGAGAAATTTGTGAGCAATTAAGTGCTAAGTGCACTTAATTGCTTATTAGTGTAGTGTAAGTGCACTTAATTCTTCATTAATCTGAGTGGTTAAAATTCCAAGCCAAATTTTTTGTGGTCACAAACTGTAGTGAAACCTGGATTAACACTGAATGCTGTGATGCTATGTATATTGAATGGACATCGCTTATTATGAGCCTTTACTGCTGGGCAAAATCATCTATTCGGATCTCTACTACCAACAAATAATGAGATTCAAGCAAGAAATCGAAAAAAAAAACGGCCGGGATTGATCAACAGAAGAGTGGCCTTTTATCACGATAACGCAAGACCACACACATCTTTGACCACTAAGCAAAAATTAAGAGAACTTGGGATGTGTTGATACATCCTCTATATAGTCCTGACTGACCTTGCACTCTAAGATTTTTGTTTTGGTCTCTTCAGAATTTTTTTTCGTTCACATAAAGGGAAGACTGTCAAAACTACTTGTCGCAATTTTTTTTATTAAAAATGCCAAGATAATTCTACAGCAACGGGATTATGTCGCTACCTACCTACAAAATGGCAACGAGCTATCAAATACATGTTTTCTTCTTCATACTATTAGAAACAGTTGAGTTTTAACTTCTAGTTAATCTCTCGATCGAGTCGATCTCTTTTCCATTCGTTGATGAAATTGAAGTATCTGTTACGAATTAACAGTTGCAATAATTGGATCATAAGGTGGCAATAATAAGTTAAATAGATACTAGTAACTAGGAAAAATGAAATCAATTTAAGAAATGGCTTTGAAATACAAAAGATTAAGTAAGCTTTCGATTTGTTTTTAATTTTTTTTTCAGCTGATTTTATTCACCCATGCAATGAAACAAGCAGAGAATGTTTAGTCAAGTCAACCCAAGACGCAATTCCAGAATTCGTTAAAGGCATGCCGAATCTTGGTGTTCCTGCGCTAGACCCTTTCACTATCGAAAAACTGTCAATTCCTCTCAGTGGACTGAAAGTGACATTCTATCAAGGAAAAGTAACAGGCTTCAGGAAGTGTATTGTCGACAATGTTATGTGAGTCTTTTTGCATAAATATTTTTTATGACTCGCAGTAAATAATTTATGACGATTTTTTATATCTAACTAGCGATTCGCCTTGGCTTCAAACGGGTGATTTCTAGGTGTCGACAACAACGCCTACCAAGTTTAATTGTGAATCTAAACCATTCAGGGACACATTTAAACACACACATAAAAATTCGGTTCGAATGGTTCGAATGGTTCAAAAGTTTTTTTCGGATTCGATTCGGATTCAAGCCCATAATCAGCAGTGTATAGCCCTAGTAAAAGTAAAAAAGTAGCATCCTACATATGTTCCACTTCTGGGCACAGGCCGCAGCAAGTTTTAGGACAAAAAAATAGTTTATTGAGTTGACTCAAACGCGGGATACGCACGTATACCTAAAACCTGATTTACGAAATATTTTTTTAACTTCTCATGCAGGCTCCCTCGCGATGTTTTCCTTTACCGCAATTAAAATATGAGTGGTATCGGCGCGGATAGAATTTGGGTTGCGTTTAGATCGGTATGATTACCGCATTTTACTCATAGTTAAAACAAAAATAAACCTGTGTTTAAAATTTTCTTTCTTTGTATTTGTAGTATTTTTTCACAAGAGCCTGTTCATTTACTCATGTGAGCTATGAAACTGGGACTATCACATAATTTTTAATAGATATGTCTAAAAATATGAAAGCTATCTTATTATATGACAAATTGTTTTAATAGTTTTATTAAAAGTAAAAAAAAGTAAGGAAGCTGCTTACATATGTCTTACGATTGTGCAGAGGGTTACGGCTACTCACATGTCCACGAATCTTTTTTAAACTAATCAGACATCAAGTTTTCCCCACGAATATATTCTTCACCACTTCACTGAGCACGCGAAAAATATACGAATGAAATTTCCTTACCAGTTTCATTATTCCTCGCACGGAGAGCTACGCGGATCTCGTATTTGCTTAAATAAAACTCGTAAAAATTGAAAAGAAGCTTTTGCATGGTTGTGAACCACATTTACCTAGTAATTAGTCATTCAACGGTATTACGAATTATTTCATCAATTAGAGATAAAATTTCACATTGCACTTAGTTTTCAATTACTTATATTGGACTTGGTACAAAAAGAAAAAGATAAGTTCACAACATACAGTTTTCTTAGTTATTTCACTAGAAGTAACAATTATGATAAATCACACGCACAGGGCCCACCGGTCTGGATATTTAAAGTCTGACAATTTTCGATACTGCGACAATAAGTATTTAATAGAATTGTATTTAATTTGACCAGTTACTAAATATTAGTTTATTAAGCAGTAAGCAGATGGCGATATTATTAGATTAAAACTATGAAATATATACAATATTGTGTTTAGTTATTAATATCGCCAAAAGATCTCTATTCATTGATATAGTCAAGTTATATCATATTATAGTCAACAAACACTGTCAATTTTGTAAAAAAATTATACGTAGATTGGCAGAGTAGTTCATTTTATTACGCAAACGTTCAAGCTTAAGTTAAGTAATAAATATTTTATTTATTAAAAATACATCAGTAAAATAGAAATGAACATCTAAAAGAAAAAAACTTAATGCCCCTTTTTAAGTTAATAAGTAATTAAGTTAATATAAGTAGTCCTAGGTCCCTAACTACCGAGACACAAAATTTCATGGAAATCAGTTCAGTAGTTTTTGCATGAATCGTGAATGCACAGGCTGACAGACAAAAATTTTGAAAACCACCGATTTGGTTTCAGTACCCTTTATTTAGCCCCTGGACTTGTTTTTTTTTCCACAAAATATTTGAATTACAGACATGACTTTTCTAGAGATTTATTATATGTATAGATTTCTAGGTACTAATTTAAATAAGGCTAAATGATATTTTATAGTTTAAAGCATAGGATTTCTCATGGTTTCATCTAAAAACAAGATACTGACAAATATTATGTATATATTTGTATATATATAGTAGGTATATTTTACATTAAAAACTTAAATGATTATATTTATGAACATCAAATTCTTGTCGTAGAATATATTAACATATTTTACAACAAAAAAATTAAGTAATATTTTTAATTAATCTTAAAAGTTGAAACTAGTTTCTTACTTCGTTTTTAGAGTCCATTTTTAGTTACGCGTCACGCTCACCGTTAAAGGTTGCAAAAAATACGTTTCGATACACGTTTTTCGTTATGTTTTATAACTTCATTCCCACTTATCATTAGAATCAATGATAATAAATTTCTTAAACTACAAAAAAAATCTGTCCGGTTTTGCTAATTTTGTTCTTTAATTTTTTAGTACAAAATATTTGCATACCATTGACACATGAGTGACGATTTTTAAACTTTTTGTTAGTCCGTCGGTCTTCGGAATAGCTGAATCGATTGTAATAAAACTTCACAAATAAATAGAGGACCCAGGAGTGATCTAGACTAAATTCTAATCGAAATATTTAGAGATTTTATTAAAATAGCAATATTAATAAGATAAAATAAATGGATTTTAATGATTATCTAAAGTCTAAATAACGCCGCATTAATATATCCTACTCTGGCCTAATCGTTAATTATAAATGTTATTTTAAAATTAATAAAATACATATAAGATATAATGTACATATAAAATTTATAATTAATCGAAAAAATAACATTATAGCGATATATCGATTTTAGCGCATTTTTGCTATTGGTACTGTGCATGTTGACGGTACGAACTCGAAAAGCCATTTCTAATCCCATTCTTTATATGTACGGACTGTAAAAATAATTTGCTTGTCGAAAATTCGCGACACGAAAATATTTTCATCATGTAAAATTAAAACCCAAAATCCTGTTTAATTTCAGATCGGAGCTTGAGAAACGTCACTTTGTGTTAGAGTTTCATTGTAACTTGACCATCAAAGGAGATTACGACGCCGTTGGAAAAATCTTACTCTTCCCTATTAATGGCGAGGGTGATGCAAAGATAAAATTGAGTAAGTTTGCATATAAAATAAGGGGAAAAGTTAAAAGATGTATTAAATTACAATCTTTTAATAATAGACTTATTTTTTACAAAACTGAATTGATATGCGAATTAACAGTCTTCCTGATGGTAAGTGGCTGGTTGCAATCCGTGGACATCTGCAACCAATTTTAAACAAAGAAGGCTATAGATACGGACTAAGACAACGAACTAAGAGCTTCAGACTGGAAGATCATAGCGCAAACACCATTTTGGGCGGCAGCCTTGTCTGACGGACTCCGACTTCTAGGCAGAAAAATAGTCGCATCAACTAAATTTAATTTTTTTATAGGATAGGGTGACAAGCGAGCACACAGTCCACCTGATGGTAAGTGGTCGCTGTGGCCCATAGACATCTACATCTATCCTCGATTACGAATCAAAATGCAGATGCGTTGTCACCTGTGAGTACTAAGATGGAATTCCTCGTTTCCAGTAAAAAGGGTCTCCCGTTCTCTACACTCACCATACGAAACAGCAGCATTAAGCTGCTATTTTACGCTGGTATTCTGTGAGAGCGTGGTCCTACCCCGGTCGAGCCGACCCATTCATGCTGTAACCACAATATAACTGCAGCATGGCTCTACCACGTAAAAATGTAGAGATGTGTCCATTAGACATTAAAAAACATAAAATTACATTTTATGCTTTTGAAAATATACTGTTATGTTTTTAATGTCTAATGAAAAACAAATTAAATGTTTTAGTTTGTGTTTAGTTATAAGTTTCTATTAAAGTTTTAATGTCTTTTATATAAAAAGATTAAGTCAAATAAAGTAGACAATATGTTACACTATTTAAAAGGGGCTTAATATGTTCATATTATCGATGATTTTGTATACCACAAGTTACTTGGTTTGGCAACTGTCTTCCCGTGTTCGTGTGTAAATATTCTAATAAAATAGTGTATTCTCATTTTGTTTTGTAAAAAGTTGATACGCTTAGGTTTGCAAAGTAGGCCATTTTATTTTTATATCCTTCTTTGGAGTTTGTCTACTTCATCATTATTATCTAGTAGCGAAAAATTATTATACATGTAAGGTTTTTAAAGATATTTTAAAGAAAATATAAAGGTATTTTAATAACAATAATCATTGCGATTACTAATAAATAATAATAATAACAAAAACCAAATTAGTACATAGCTAACAAATTATGATGTAATTAATATTCCACTTTATTTTTCAGCAAATCTGAGGATGAAGGTTGATATTAATACAAAATACATAAAAGACAATAAAGGAGTGAACCACTTTGCCTTAAAGAGCTATAAATATTCATTCGACTACGGAGACAGAGTAACGTTTGACTTACAAAATATTTTCAAAGAAAGTAAACAATTAAGTAAGTATATATAGAATGTGCATTTTCACACAGGTTTCTAAGTTTATTTCCTCCGTAAATTTGGATAAAAATCTACATATTGTATATTGTACAGTCTAAAATATGTTAATCGCGTGATATTTCCATACGTTCTATATAATTGTAAACGTAAATAATACTGTATAATGTATACATAGGTACGTATAAATTTATTCGTTTAGATAGACATAGACCATCGAATGTTTCGGTTACATCAAACCACGATAATCCTTGACTCAGTTTAATACCGATTATATTCAAAATTTTTAAAATCAAATCAATGCCATAAATAAATTAATTTGTAATGAAATATTTAATATTTAAGCCTATTACTGGACTAAGACCTTTCAAAATATGGCACTATTAGGTATGCGTTCTTTGAAAGAATCGTCACAGTTCTCTGTGGCGAAAAATAAATTGATTCGGCTAGTAGATCACTGAGTAGTCAAGCCGGTACTTTCGCGCTTGTAAGGCTGTATTTCGTCACCAGCCTGTATTTAGGGTCGGAATCTATCAATGTGTTTTGCGATGCAAATAATATATTCAAATGCGTTCACTGTCAAGTCACTGCTTATTCGCTACCCACCAAATTTACCATCCAGAATTGTCTTCATCGAGCGTTTTCCTCACCGAATATTAAAAACACAGTGAACGGATATATATAACAAGATTTAATTATAACAAAAAAGGTCGTAATTACGTAAACTGAATCAGACACTCGCAACCTTGTAAAGTCATGGTAAGTAAGTGAATCGATCTGGTTCTGATATAATACACTTGTTGTCGTGATAATGTATTTCAAAATAAGTTGCTTTACAGTATAGACACAATACAATAAATCCCGCGATTTGAATTTTATCCTAAATTTAATCCTTTTTTATCATATCATCACATATCTTATTAATGACGTATTGTGGGTGAAGCAAAAATTTGTTGTTTTATAATCAACTAGCTTGCCAGGCAGACGTTGTTCTGCCCTTTTCGGCCTATTAAAAATCCTTAAATTCGCAAAAAAAAAATAGTGGGCAAAAAAAGTATCCTATCTATCAATTTGGACCAAACTACACACGGTGTGTATCGCGGTATATATGTGTATACATCGTGGACAAAAAACGTGACACGTAATTTATATATATTAAGATTAAGATGTATAGGTTGGGTTAGAAGGCAATTGATCTTGTCTTATAATTGTCTCTCTATTTAGTGACAAATTGTAAGCTCCATTGTTTTTTTTTAAATAACTGTCAAATCGATACTCTTGAAAATTGTATCAGATATTTAATATAAAATTACGCGTCGTACGACTATAAAACTGATCTAGAACCGATAACATCGTTTACTATGAGATATGTAAGACAAAAATAGAATAATCTAAAAACTTGAATTCATGTTGCAATTTCGACACTCAAAAATAGATCCCATTATAAAACCTTCTGTATAGGGAGTAAAAATATCATTAGATATTAAAAAGTAGTTTAGTTGCCAGTGAGATTATATTCCAAAAAAAGCCGAAATAAAATATGACTTCATTCTCTTCGAATTAAGTGCTAATTTGTCTCACAAATCGTTATAGGTGACACAGTATTGGCGTTCCTTAACGAAAATTGGAGGACTGTCTCAGAAGAATTTGGAAAACCAATAGTAGACTATGCCGTGGAACTTGCCATTAAAACAATCGAAAAATTCTTCCTCGCAGTTCCTTATGAAGAACTAATTAATGTTCCTATACCATCATGACTAGATTAACATTTATAGCTAATATAAGAAATTATTTTTTATCCATTTGTTTTATTTTTATTAATTCACTTTTTATAGCCTAGCATTAGTTGCAGCCAGTGGTGGTGGTTACTGTGTAGTGGCGGTGTAAGGATATCCACTACTGGGTGTCGTGAGAGGCGACACAATGAAAGAGGGAAACAATTCAGGAGATGGGCAGCAGAGTTTTTCTAAGCCGCCTGCCAAGCGTGGAAACTATGACAAATATCTCTATATGGTAATCTTTGTTGTTCAGCAGGTATGTTGTATGTGTAATAAAAGTAATAATCACTTATTTCCAAACTCATTTCAAAATCAGTTTAGGTACCGTTAGAAAAGTAAATTTGTTACAGTTTCTTATCGGTTTTTACGCACAAAGGTAACTTTGAAAGGAATTTTTGTCATCTTTATTTCCGGACAATTCAGACGAATACAAATTTGGAGAAACAATTCTGTGTAATTGGTCACGTGCGTTAGATATTGTTTTTTCGCGGCAATGACATCGTGAATTTAATTTGAAAATTCACGGTTAGTGTTAACACCAACTTAGATCAGATAGTCATTTAGTTTTATGCTGTTTGCAACTAAATTTTATGATATTATTGTATAATATATAAGCTCAAGTCCTTATAAATTTCTAACTCATTTTAAGTTAGTGCGTTGTAGGGGACATACTTGTAAGTGTATCCTATAGATGCTTGCTCATAAACAGCGGACAAAGTTTAGGATCGAGTACAAAAAATGACACACTAAAACGTTGGCAATATCTTCTCTTTAAACAAGTGTCTTTGAAATATTTAGAATATAACTTTATGATACTTGTAAAATATAAATGGATGATAGCTCCAATACTTACTTGTTATCATTATCATCACCAGCATCATGGGCCTGAAGCACTACACTAGGCATAGGCCTCTCGTAAGGTATGCTACTTCGCTTGAAATCGTTATTCTTAACCTATACGCTATCTCGAGTACTACATACATTTATTTCATTGATATTGTCTTACTATAGTGTCTAAAAATCGGAAAGTGAAAGTGTAAAAATTGCAATTTACGATATCAAATGCAAATGCCATACAATTAAGTATGTAAGTCCCTCTATGTACGATGGGATTACATCAAACATCAAATAATATTCTCCATCGTGAATTTCAATCACGTCGGTCAGTCTCAATGGAAACTAGCCATCTGAGCAGGACAGGACTATAACGAATGAATTTATTCTTAATTTTTTCTTTATTCCCTCACTCTAATAGTCTGACACAATCGGAAAGAGTTCAGCCACAGGACTAACGCATTTACGTGCTTTCTGAGGCACGAGGTGAAATACCGCCAACTTCTTGACTCCGGGTTGTTCCTAAGAATTTCTTGACAATATAATCCAATAACTTATTTTGGTTCGACCCGGAATTCGAACCCGGAATCGATCAGCAGGCCATTACGACCATAAGACCAACCAGGCAGTCTATAAATACCAAAACTAATTGTAAGTACATATGCATATACAAATTTTAGCGTAATTTAGGATTTTTGGAGCTTTGATTGTTTTTTTATTTTATTTTGCCGCCTTCCTGTTGTTTTTTTTTTCTTATTATAAAAGAAAACAAGTTATACAGCACGATACGTATAGTTTCGCGCAGGTTAACAAATATAGTCGTACATAGCATTCATAGTGGTGACAATTTAGCAGTAAGTAAGGTTCAGAAATGAAGCTACATACGACGTTAAATCAACGGTTTCAAATAGAGCGATGCCTACTGAAATGAATCGAGCGAGAAACGGAGACAAAATTTTGTGTGTCAATTATTTTCATTTCTCCCAATGGCGAATGGTATATTCACAAAGATCTATTATCATTTGATCAGGAGGTAAAAGAGGGACCTGATACGGACATGAGGAAATATTTTAAAAAATTATGTAGGATGACTTTATGATGAGACTTCGTATAAACACCGGTAACCTACTTTGAAAAGATATGATAAATACACTTTAAACCGTATATCATCATTCATTTTCGTAAATATTTCTCACTGTACCCCATATTTCATTAAAAATGGAGCCAAGTGCGATAGTAAGATAACAAATAACAGTCATTATTTAATGTTTCCTTGTAGACAACTAAAATAAACCTTCTAATTTTTTATTCTTGGTTATAACACTATACATGAAGCTAAAACGCATTACTTTATAGATTGTCTGATCGTTAAGAGAATAATGTTTTGTATAAATATATGGTATGAATAAATAAACCATGACATTAAAAATATATAGATGCTAATTATGGTTCTGAATGGTTATTATGTAGCGTGATTAGAATAAAATTTATTTACATTAATAAGCGAATAACGATTGTGTAATAATAGAAATTAATGTTTTCATATATTTACTCGAATATTACTCATGAAATAAAATAAAAATGAAATCAAACATTACACCCTTAAAATCCAACCCGGGACTGGTCTAGGTCTCTCCTGGCAAGAAAGGTTTGCCTGAATCGTTACCCTTGCTAGGGGGGTGGACTTTAAAATGGCGCCGTCGACGGCGCTGTCCATCACGTTCTGTTTTTACGTCTGTTCTTATGTGAAGTTTATACCGTATATTTCTCGGAAATCATTAATTTCTCTGAAACTTCCCATATTTCACTTTTACAATACGTACGGGTCGAAATGGGGTAATAGATTCACCAACACATTCACCACGTTGCAAAAATATTTTTTATAGAGTAAGGTCACAGTCCACCTAACGGTAAGTAGATGCTGAGGCACGTATAAATCTACATCTATCCTTAATAAGTACCAAAATGCAGAATTTCTTGTCAAAAATGTCACTGGTTTTCTAAACTCACCATACGACGACACGACCATCTAGCTGCTATTTATGTTAGTATTCCGTGAGAGCGCGGTCTATCCTCGGTTGAGTAGTCTCGTACACGCTAAAACCATAATATACCTGCAGCATGGCTCTATCACGTATAAAAAAGAAAACAAAAAATTATTTTAAATTAAAAATAAATACAGAAATAGTTGAAACACAAAATTAACTATAGTTTTGCTTTTAACTTAATACTCTAATTCGCACATTTGAACATTTTGGCAAATATTACATCATATGAAGTGTTCATTGTACTAAAGTACTTCACTCGTCAATCTATCGACGTCGAATCGTCGAGAGAAGGGCGGGATCAATACGATTGAAGTAAAATTGGAATGCAGTTTCATTAACACAACGGTTTCTCTTCGTTTTCTACTTTTTGTCTATTTTTTAAGCAGGATTAAAACGGAAAGTAGTTGTGCTTGTATAGCTTCCTTGTTAAGATATTAGTTAATATTAGACTTAATATTATATTGCTACTTAATATTAGATCCTCTTATTTATTTAACTCAGGGCCTAAGCGCTCGCTGTAGATTTCCCATTACGCGAGCAAACTACGTTCGATCCCACCAGCACCAATGAAATTATTAAATGCAATTTTAAGTGTGTGTATCACTTGCTCGGCCGTGAAGGAAAACATCGTCAAGAAATCTGCATGTCTGAGAAATAACAAAAAAATTCGAAGAAATGTTAAGCTCGTCAACACGCACTGGGGTAGCACGGCGGACATTTCCTTGCCCTAAAACCCTCTCATATATGACTGTAACCAGCAGTGGGACGTATATAGGCTGTAACTTTACTTTTATTTTACTTTAGTTACTTCCACCACTTCAGACTTACATCTTAGTCGTCGCCAACGCAATTGTTACTTTCTATATTTGAAATTTATTACTGGTGGCAATGGGCTGCGGTCACCACTTGTGGACTGTTAGCTCCATTACTTTACTATTAGCTGCTTCACTATTATGAAATAGAAAAAATAAATTAATAATATTTTATGCTCTTTATTGACATACACTAAAAGGTATTGGTTCGAAACCTATCAATGTACATAGCGTAAGACGTTATATTATCTCTAAAATTCTTCAACAATGCATTAATAGATGTTTTCAAGCTACTGGATTGGACAAACTACAGAAACGACGTTAATAACGAGTAAATCACCCATATTGAATTTGGCGACGATATACTTAGGTATTACGGCAACATCGCTGAATGATCTCAGTACTATGATCTCTGTATATTTTATTCTATTCTATTCTTCATTTATCTTCCAATGGATAGGTCTCAAATGTACATGGACCAAATAAAGATCATTTATAACGTCGATGAGACACCTATCCTGGTAGTTGTATGAAGCACTTTTTTCGAAGTTATTGAAGAGTTTGTTTACCTAGGGTAAACTGTCTGACTAGGTACGTCCAATTTTAATAATCAATCGACGGATCCAACACGGCTGCGCAGCGTTCAAGAGATTACGACACATCTTCTTCATCTCAAAATTTAAAAAGGAGAGATAACTTAAAGTGCTTGATATATTTCGTAGTGAACCGGAATAACCGTCATAGGCCAAGAGATCAGTAGGCAAGTGGCATTGTACCTGCCATATAGCTGGAAGAATCGACAAGCAAGGAAGAAGAAATGTTTAATGGGTCGCAGCCACGTACCGGTAATCAAATGTGTATGTTTGCTGTGAATTTGATGGCAGGTACGTTCTGTGAGGTCCCTTGGGGACGCTTAGATCCAACAGTAGACTTGTGACGGGCTTTAATAATATATTGTCTGTGTATTACTTGTGTATGTAGTACGTATCGTAATAAATAATTTAGAAGTATCTTTTAATATCATGATCGATCAACAAACGTAGTATGTTGTGCGATATAGCCTTAGCTGAGACAAATTACTGTAATTAATATACTTGACGGGTAAATAAGCGATTGCAATATAATTCCAATCAAGTCCGATTGTACATACAATCACTATGTGCACGCCGTTTTGTACGAGATTGTATATGAACGGTCATATTTAGGGTGAAGAACTAATTGTTAAGTTTTGGTTACCTCACCATCTATGAGTCACGTAGTTGATATCAGATCTTTCGAGATTTTC